TAATTGCAAGTATGTATGCATTGGCAGGCACACAGCATGCCTTGTACGCATGGTTGTTGAACCGACGGGTGACGACTACAGCGAATGCATTGCGCAGATGATGATGTGTGCTGGCTGAGGGTGTGTTGCGGAAAACTGCTAGTACCTCTGGGTCCATCACAATAGCTGTCAACCTGATATGTACAATCAAACATATACTACATTTGAAGTATGTCTCTGGTATAGTTAAGGTATATCAGCTCATATCATCCAATCGTAGCGTATAATATCAATTGGTACAATAATATCATATCATATAACTCAATCATATCATATCATATAATCCAACCATAAGATGTCATATTATAACAAATCATATCATATCATATATTTCAATCACATCATGTCATATAATCCAATCATAAGATGTCATATTATATCATATCATATCACATCATATATTTCAATCATATCATATCATATGTCATACTATATTACATGATTCAATCATACCATATCATACCATATATCATATCATATCATATATATTTCATTCATATCTTATCATATCATATCATATCATATATTTCAATCATATCCCATCATTCAACACAGTTCGACAATATCACATCATAATGTCATATCTGACACAAACTGATATACCCCATTCAATATCATGCCATCAAACAAATAGCAAACACGACCCAGGCATGCACTTTGTCACAGCCATCCACGCAGTACAAGTGGGTACCCAGATGGTACCTCCATATATCTCAAGTGTGTACATACGAGCTTACATGACGCCACCACATCACCTGAAGTAAACAGCCTCTTCATCTGCAAATGTGGTTCGTCTGGCGTGTTGGTACATTGGATATTTCCCCATTTTGCACATGGTAGTTCTGGCGATCTTATGTTTGGGTTGAATCGGCAAGGGAGCCGGCATATCGGGACTGTCGGCACCCGAATGGCTGCTGCTTGAGGTCTAGAATCATTGTATGTATACATTAGAAATTTCTACACACATATTTATACATATATACATATATACATATATACTATAAACATACATACATACATACATATATATATATATATATATATATATATATATATAATATATATATATATGTATATATGTGTATATGTGTATATAT